TTTTGACATTTATAATTATGAGTGCAATGAAAAAATGTTTTTTTATTTATATAAATTTAATTGTTTAGAAATTTCCTGTTAAACTTATAAAAATTATTTTAGTTATTTCCCCTCCCCCACCCCTCAAAAAAAAAAATTGGTGGGTGGAGAAGTAGTTTATTCCTCAAATAATTTATGTATCAGCATAAAAACTACGTAAGTAGGTGACTGCTCTCTCTGCTTTACAGTAGTTGTCAAGTATACGTTTAGTATCATTGAGTAGGTTACTATAACAAATGTGTTAAATTTGAATTTTATAATAAAACTGTGTACAAAAAAAATAATTTCTTAACAAAACAGTCGAAATATATTATGAAGTATTTTTTTTTTATCTAAATATTTCTATTGCTATAACAATATGAAAAAAGGAAGTAGAAAAAGTAAAACTGAACAGAATATATCATAGAGAATTTACAGCAAATTTATTTGAATGTTAGGACTTTAAGGCTAAATTCCAACTAGAAGATTATAGTAATATATATATATATATATATTTATTAAGAGGAGTCATACCACATGTGTGGTCTCTGTTTTAAAAATGTATAACATGAAAAATTGTATGAAAATAGTGAAAAAATAATGAAAATTAGAAAATACTAATATAAATTATAAACTATAAAACAAAACCTATTCTTGTTAGTCATTTGAAAAAATTATAAAATAAAAATATTTATATTGCCTAATTCTTGTTTTGCTCAAAAATTCACAATCTTAGTATAGTAATGAATTTATTGATTTTACAATGTCTATTTTTGCCGATCATTATCAGAGAAGCAAAAATAAAGACCCCTGAAGAAAAGATATTATTGAATTTTATTATTTCATTATTCTACAAATTAACAGAAAATCCATATACTGCCTGCTTAAAATTTAAAATATTTCAATTTTAAAATTAATACATAATTATTAAAAAAATAAGTTATTATTCATATTAAATTTCAACACTTACAAGTCTCAAATATACAAATAATGAAGAGTATTCTCCTGCTTCAGGAAGATATGACAAAAACACAGTTAAGCATAATATCAATACAGTTCGATCTCGACCAACCATCCTTAAAGCCTAAAATACAAATACAAATATAGCTACATTCTTATTGTTTTTTTTCTATGTAGGTACTCACAACAAATGGATCTGCTTTTTTCCAAGATATACAATTAGTAGATGTTCGTTGTTTATGTGGTAAACTTTCTGGAACAGCAACAATTATGAAAAACACATTTAAAAGTGCTATTAATGATGCTAAAAATACAACAAAACTAGTATTGTAAATTTCCATGATATATGAACCAAGGGCTGGTCCAAAAACCATACTAGCTCCAAATGTTCCAGTTATCTATAAAAAATAAAAATATGTTCAATATTTATTTMTAGAATAATTATAATGTGATTTAAAGTATTCAAATTAATTTTTAAATATTTACCCAGCCATAATAACAACTTCTTTCTTTCTCATCACTCACATCTGCTACATAAGCAAATACAACTGAAAATGTTACTGAAAATAACCCAGAAATACTTATCAAGGCAAAAAACCAGCTAAAAATAAATATTTTTCATCACTTTAGATAAGTAAAAATTAATTGTAATTTGAAATATTAATGTTCAATTTCAAAAATTACCCAGAGTCAATACACATGAAAGGTATTGGAATACAAGTGAAAAATACTGTTARTAATAGGAATAATTTTCTCCCCCAAACATCAGATAAGGCACCAATCAATGGGGCACTTAGGAATGATAGAATACCCTAAAAAAACAAAAAAATTAAATAAATAATAACATAATTAAGAATAATTATTAATATACATACTTTTATTCCCCAAATAATACCATTCATGAGCAAAGCATGATCTTGGAATGTATTATTTAATTTCTGTAATATATATATATATAAATTATTTTAATATACATAATAGTTATGGAGTATAACTAATCATTTCTTATTGACTATATACTTACTGATATTACTGGTAAAGTAAGTAAGCTCCAAGCAAAATATTCTAAGAATATAATAACCAAAGCATGGTATATTGATGGTTTTCCTATTCCTGATTTCTAAAGAAAAATTAAAGAAATACATTAATCACAATATTTAAATTTTTTTACAATTTAATCATGTATTAACAAAGATTATACATCRAAAAAAATGGCCTAGCAATCTATACTAGTAATAACATTATTAATATAAAACTTTATTTTACCATTATTATTCCATCACTCAGAATAGATCTATGGCTTCTGATCACGGACATATTCTTAGTTATTTTTATTTTTGAACCCATTGTGGAACGTGTCTCATACTTTTTTCCTTCATTAATTGTTGGAAAATACTGTTCCATTTGTGTAATTATTTAGTTCAAGTGATAGACAACAATTAATTGTATGYCATTTTAGCTATTGAAATTGATAATACAATTATAATAAATATAAATACTGTACAATAATAATAATAAGTTAATTAATCGAGTTCCATGAAAACAATAGCTATTAATGAGAACTGTCCAATGGAAATTAACTAATGACCATTGAAAGAATAATGGACAGTATCATAGGGAAATATTAGGGTAATCAAAATTTAAAATTTGAAATTTCATATAGTTTACTTACACAGACGGACAGTTTGAATACTACCGTTAATCGTTATTCATTATTTGGCATTTGGTATTGGCTTTAATGTATTATTATTTAAATTTAATATTTCTCGTGTGTTATGAATGTTGTGATGGATAAATAAATCATGAAATTATCGTTATCGAATATCGATAACAGCTGATAACATAATCAAATTATTTACTCAATGCTATCAGCACGTCCTGCTATTGGTCAATTATCAAGGAACGGTTACGGTTGATAACATCACTTCTTTTTGTTTTAAAACGTAACGTTACAAATTACATTAAATCGGTACTATTGTTCTGTAGTACTAGAGGACGTTTGCTCAATATGTTATATTGCATTATTGAGAGTTTTCTGATTGAAATTGACCGATTGTTCTATCATAGTATATATTTTCCAAGTACAGGATTAGTGTGATCAGATTGTGAACTTTTTAACATAGTTATACATATACAATTATTTTTCTTCGTTATTACGTGTTGTTTGTGCTTCCTGTTAAAATGTTACCGGACTTCTTATGTAGACCACTAATGTGAGTATTGTACATGTGTTTTTTTAGAATCTTCTTTTATTAAAATATCTTCTTTACTATACCATTATAAGGATAATGACGCATAATTTTCTGAATTGTTTTTAATGTTTAAAATATTTTTTCATAAATTATTATTATTTTTTTTTATAAAAGATTTATATATGTATACTTAATAGTCACATTATTTTCTATTACGTTCATAGGTATTTCAAATGTTCCAATATGATATTATTTTTTRTTTCACGCAATTATGGCTGGATTAATATTGATTATACATATATTCTAATTGTGTAGATTTTAAATTGATTCCTACCTAGCTATTTTAATTTAAAATTTATCATTATTTTTTTTTCAGTATGCTATTTGGCATATTATATCCAGGATATATGTCATATAAAGTGCTCAAGACAAAGCGATCGACAAATTATGTATGTTTGATTACTTAAATAAATAAACATTATTATTTAAAGAGTATAACTTTTGGGTTTGGATAACATATGTTTCATTTAATTATTAGTTGTAATATTATGTTTAACTATAAGAACTATTATTGAAAGAAATAAAACTATTGTTATTACGTTTTCTATATTTAAAAAAACCCATACTCATTACTCACATTATATCTGTTATGCTATGTAAAATTGTTGACTGGCATATAATAAACTAATCCACTAAAATATATTATTGACTATTTCATTAATAAAAACAATTAACCTAAAAGATTAAAAATSGTATGGTTATAAAACATATCTCATATGTTTAAGTGGATAAGATTAACAACTATATGAGAAAAACCACATAAGATATCATTTAGTATAAATATTTATTTTATATTATTTTTAAAAACTTTTTGTTTTAACTATACAAAATAATAACTTTATATTAATTTAGGGTATATGGCTAATGTATTGGATAACCTTTTCAATGTTCACTTCCGTGGAAACCATAACAGACATATTCATTGGYCCTTGGTAAGTTATTTAAATAATTAAAAAAAAATATTTGATTTTGAATAATAATTTAGTTTATATATTATAACAACTTTCAGGTTGCCATTTTATAATGAGCTGAAGCTTTTGTTTCTTTACATGACTTATCCAACTTCAGACAGCTCTTTAACTTATGTGTACAAAAATATCATAAGTCCATTTATTAAACGACATGAAAAGGTCTGTATTAATATGACTGCATATTTATAAAAAACATATTAAATTAAATTAGCAGCATAAAAATAAATTTAGTAAAGCAAGTAATCACTGTGCTATCCTATCTTGTTATTGAGTATGTCACTCTAATATAATATGTATAAAATATAAATTCAATGATGAATTCTGCAACAAAAACAACTAAGTGAAGACCTGCTTGTCACTCTATAATAACTAAGTAAAGCTCATAGGTTTTTTGATATTTCTATAAAGTAATAATTTATTTTATTTCTAGTATAATGATAGTTTGATTAAATTTTTGATGAAAACATTGTATTTATATTATCGTTATTTTTTTATTAGGTATAGTAGTATATATTTTTATAATATATTATTGTTATTAATGTTTGAGGTCAATACCAACTAACCATAGGATGGTGTAACTATACTCTATTCGCCGTAAGTTGACCCACTTACGCGCATGCATACTGAGCCGCCGGAACATTCAGACCCCCCCCCACGTCGGAGACTTGTGATTTGTGATTGGTCAGTGGTGTTCGGCAATCGGCGGTGTTTGTCGTAGTAGTCAGCTGCCGCCGTGCATACAGAATGTTATACAAAATAATTGTTACGAATTATATCAATATAATAGCGCGCGTTTGCGGAGATAGTGTCGATACGTTGTGAATATAATCAAATCACTACGTATACGCCAGGTGCGGTGGAAACGATCAACACTAGCGCTCCAAAGACGCGGTGGCCTGCGCAGCTACGACCGGTTTTCGTCGAGCTAGTGGGTCAACTTACGGCGAATAGAGTATATAATAGGATTCTAGTATTAATAKTCAATAGCATGTATGGGCGGATAGGTCATTTTTGGCCTACCATAAAATTTTAAAAAGTAGCCCCCCCTTGAAAAAAAATTTAATAATATATGATATTAAAATTTAAAGGGCCCCACTACCCAAATACGAAGGGGGCCCACCAGGATATGCCCTGTTGCCCGGTAGGCCATCCGCCCATGATAGCATGGAATGAATTTAAATGTTTATAAAAAACATAATAAAAGAGTTGTTTTATAGTTTAAAATTTTTAATTGGTTGAAAAATAGTATTTTTTTTTAATATCTAGTTTCATCCGTATTTGAGCTTAAGATGTCTGCAAATGCAGAATGYATGTATATTTTAAACTCTTATTTTATATGTCAACAAATAGTTAAAATATTAACCAAAATAATATGCAATATTTAAAAAAAATTAATTTAATATAAAGATTAGGTCAAATTATATCATATATAAATGGTTG